AAAATTCTCCTTCATGGAATCAATCGTGATCCTCACTCTATTGTAGAACTCATACTCCATTTCCTGGATCATATGTTTCACAATAAATTTTAACAATTCAATTGACCAGACCAAAAAATAAATTAAGTTTGGAGTTGACAAATCATCACAATTTATTTTATATTTTAACATTGATACATCCATATAATATCTTCATTTCACCATATCTCAGAGTACGGAGAAAGATAAAGGAAACTACTCAGACTTTATGAGAAAAATTCAATAAAACACAAATTTCATATATAAAAGAAAGTTCATACAACACTAATAAATAAAAAAACACTTATCTGAAACTCTTTCTCAAAGCAAATCCCTTATAGCCTTTCCTAGGAAATGTAGGAAGAAGAAATCTCTCATTTTTCTACTTCTCCAACACTCTTAGAAAAGAATTTACACTTAATCTCAAAACAAAAACTTTAAATTCTTAAAGAAAAATCACTAACAGATTCCAAAATGGTTGTGGAATGAAGATGGACAAATGTATGGTGTGTAAGAGATTGAATTGAGGCAAGGAATGACGAAAAAAAGAGCAAATTTTCTGATCAATTTCGGCCCCAAATAGAGCCTAGAGTCGGTTCTCCAATAGGTGCATCTAAAAATTCTTCAAAAAGCGTCCAAATTTACTGAATCTTCTAGAAACAGGCTCTGAACCGACACTAGAGCCGTCGACGCCAGTGGTCCTCAATTTAATTCGCTGCTCTCTGTCAAACGACGTCGTCAGCTCTGAAAAAATTTTTAACTTCTTCATTTTGACTCAAAATTTCATTTTTTTTGCTTCCTTTTTGCTCTAAGTCCTAAAATTCAACAACCTGAAAGAAAACATGAAAAATACCTTTCATTAAAGTGTAATATCACAAAAAATGAGTATAAAATATGAGTCTAAAAATGCATATATTTTTTGTGTATCAGGAACCTACAGTTGCTGACGAGACTTCCCACTGTCTAAATGAAAGTATGGAACTCATTAAGTCGAGTTTAGTAAATTCAATTGAACTAAGTGAATCCGAAAGAAAATAATGGTGCCAGAACGAGAGAACCGTGAGATCCTAACCGGTGTCGCTCTAATCAACTTTAAACCTCTATAATATTTGAATAACTATAACCTTAGGGAAAATTTGATTTAACATCCTAACTTGACACATTAGAAAACTTAAACTTGCTATGAGGAGGAGCTTGGAGCTAGCATCATGGGCAGCACGCCCATCTTCAAAAGCAAAGCCTGTCTACATCAACTAAACCAATCCTTAGAATTAAACAACAATCCATAGGACTTCGAGGTTGTTTGCTTATGCACCATAAATCCCCAACTTATCCTTAGGCTTTTGTATGGTTCTACTATACAATATAAGCCCTAAATTGCCTTAGGATTCTGAGGTTGTCGTTCGTTACGACCTAAATCCTCACATCTTCCAGGCTATTTGTGTGATCATTTTACACGAATGTAAGCCATAATTAATAAAATTGGGAGGATGAAACATTCAATAATTCTAATTTCTAAAACTGAAGTCAAACAATAGGATAGTTTTGGAAAGTCATCGAGGTTCTCATCCAGATCTATGACATCCCCTAGATATCCCCTAGCTTCTCTCCCCTTAGATTCTAAAATAAAATGTTCCAAATTTAAGTCATTCCCCTTCACACCTCTTTACCCAATCTCCTTGAAAATTTATATTTCTTTGAACTCCTTGAAGATAATATCCCATGATTTTTATTGAGAGTTTTCTTAGGTGACTTCGATTATCTAAGATGTGATTAACTATAGGGGCTTGCCCTTATAGGAAGCTTTTCCGAACCCAGCTCAAAATAAACCTTATTTAATTTTTTGTATTAAATATGGGAACTTGTCGGCTTATAATAAAAAGGGTTTCAGAGACTTAACGGATGTCATACAATCTTTAGTTTATTTAATCGAGCCTTAACAGTAAGTAGTGTGTTTATTTTTCGGGATTTCGGGATAAATACATTATTTGCAATATTAGACTCGTTTATTTAAACTACTGGGGATATGAGATCAGTCCAGTCTTGTATTTTCAAAAATATAAAATACTATTTTTTCCAAATTATGTATTAAATTAAATTAAAACGGGTGTTAGGATATCCATCCTGACAACCAACAACTCCACAACCCCCACTCCTCAACCTTTTAGCGCCGACACCGCACCATCCAGTGCATCAAGTATGAGTGGTATGCATGTCATTATGAATGTTTAGGTGTAAGAGGTGTAAGATTTGTAAATACATACATGAGACTTATGTGATATGTATGTAAATGCTCCCTAGAACAAAAATGATCAACCATCCCAATAGAGAAACTTCACAGGAAAGCCTTTTGCACCCTATAGGAAAGAAACATAGCCTTAACAAGAAACAAAATTTTCGAACATAACCAAACATAGTAACAAAGCTATGCCTCAGTAGAAGGTACCGAAAACTTCACTATAATCTGAGTGGTGTGCGTGTGAATATGAATGTTTAGGTGTTAGATTTATAAGTACATAAGAACTATGCAATATGTACGCAACCAATTGTCCCATAAATGAAAACTCTCACTCACCATCCAAGCATCGAAATGTTTCATATTACACAACAAAACCACCATTTCAACCTTTAAATAGTGGAATTCACATTTGTATGCATAAAAAAATAACTTATTACTAGAAGTATCGATCTAAATAAGATTCAACTATGTATTCCTCGATACACATGATTAAGCTCTAGGAACCACCATTTTCAATAACTTTTCATATTTAATATATATAAATAGACAACCCCTCTCTTTTTGGGGCTCCTTTTCTTTTAAACAAAAAAAAAAAAAAAAAAAAAAAAAAGCCTTAGCTTCAAATGCTAACTTGGTAATCGCATGGCTAAAGTCATCAACATGGTCTTTCACCCATGAACTCTCAAAGAGATGTAAAAGATGCTAAAGACATAAGGCAACAAAAGGAAATAGCTAAGGAAATCCTCTGCTGTAAATACAAGAAGGCATGGGTCTCCATCCAAAAGTATTCTTAAGGCAAGATTAGGATGAAGAAATCTATTATGAAACATCAAGTGCAAATATCTAGAATTGTAGCAAATCAAAATTGGGCTAACTTCATAAGTAACCTATCCATGCCAGGATAGGTAAATAAGCTTATGAGATTACTAATTGAGAGATAAGGATATATGGAAAGGCAAGGATAAAAATGTACAAGTATTCAAGTACTCCTGTGGGTTTTATCATGCTCCCACATGCCATATTTTAGCACGTAGTTGTAAAATTAGGTGCAATTAGCCGTAGAGTGGGGTTTTGAGAGCACAGGACAATATGTTACTATATATGACACTAAAATACCAATTGTGTTGTGTGGGAAAACAAGCACAAAAGAGAGTTTTTTATACAGTCTTCAGTAGATATAAAATAAAAATTTACACTCCAAGTAAATCCAAAATAAAGAACCCAGCGCAAGATCCAGTGTATGACAAATTTGTGGACTCTAGAGTCATACAATACAAACTATAAAAGATACCCGAAAAAGGCGTGCTCGCCGATCTATGGTGAATTAACAATAGATCAGTTCCACGCAAATCATTTAAAAAAATTTGAACTTTCTCTATCTTGGGCTAACTTCATAACCTAAATACATAAGAAAGCAAGTGCAACACTGCCTTCATATCATCAAGTGCAATAAGGGAATCCTCTACTGTAAAAAATATTCTCGGGCTAATTTCATGTATAATAAAAAAACATGCAACTGTTCTCAACAGACATTCCACCATGAGCTCTCGGGTTCAGCCAAAGTGAATGTATAAGAAACAAGGGCTAACTTCATAACCAAAATACCACAAAATTCCTATGTACAAACCTACATTCATATCCATTGGATAGATAATTCATATGCATTGGAAAGTCGTTTGCATTTCAATAGGAATAGATTCAAGACAATTCCAACGTTTCCCGTGTTCATTAGAAAGCAAGTGCAACACTACCCAGTGCATTCCAACATAATCCAACAAAATCATCAGCAAGAAAACCCTACTTACATCATCAACTGAAATTTGCCTAAATTAGGGATGGAAAAACCAGATCAGACATGGTAAATCGAACCAGTCGAAATAAACGCGCATAGCAGAGAACATCAGATCTCACCGAGAGAGGGAGAGGGAGTAAACAAAAGCTTACATGTGAGTCGATCTTCGCTAGGGTCATGATAGGGAGGGAGAGGGTGTGGGAGAGCAGAGAAGGGCACAGGAGAAAATTTTTCCCTAAACCCGAGTCGCGGACGCGGAACGTGGGGGTAGGGGCGTGTATCCACCTATTAACAAATGCACACGCGTGTATCGGCGCGACACCAAACCGCCGGGCGAACGGAGTTTCCAAGCACCGCGCTGGCGTTTTCAAAACGCCACCGCACCCCCAATAAACTACCCCAAATGGGCCCTAAGTTATAGGGACTGAGGGGTGTGGGGTATGCCAAAGATTGATCCTTCTTTCATGGTAGTCACGACACTATAAACCATTGCTTTATTTTGTACGGGTTTTAATAGGTCCTGCATAACATTGTTTCATATTATAGATTTATTTTTTTGATTAATTTAGTTGATTTTTTTTTCTGTTAATTTGTTTAATTAAACAAGGGAAGCTTTATCCAAGCACTGCAGAATTTCGAAGGCTCTTTTACTAAATTCTAAAGAATAAATATTGACATATTTCCAGCTCAAATTTTAAACGAAGCAATGCTCCTACTTGAGATCAGAAAGCTTAACAGGAAAGGTCTTCCTAATAACCTGGCCATATTTTTCTATTTAAATTTTCTCCAAAACCTCTTCTTGGAAGAGCTGTCTGCAATTAAGCAAGAGATTAGTCTCCTTAAACTACTCATTAATCCTCGTTATGAAAACTTCATTTCGTTATGGTTGGTCTTTCAACTTGCAGGAGATTGCTATAACTGCCTCACTAACACGCATATAAATACATTCAGATCCAAGTTTCTCCAAAGCCTCTGATAGATACAGTTTTTCCGCTACACCAGCAACCGGATTTACAAGCACAAGCTGCAGAATTCAGTATGAAGAATAGTTAGTATTTGTTCTATTAAGAATTTCATTACATGGTTGTTTAAGAATCATGATATAAGGTTCTCTTACTTGGAGTGATCTGTTGTCGAGGGCCTTCTTAAGTTCCAGAAGAGCATCAATTCCACTTGCGTCTATTGCTGTTACAGCTGAAACAATTACAAAGAAGAAATCAGCTGAGTCTGTTGTTGAGGGCCTTCTTATATGATCTGTTGATAGATGAAATTTTTAATGAAAATTTCAGAATGCAGCCGAGTCTGTTAATTACCAGAAATGTCCAAAACAATGCATGTTATGTCAGCCTCCTTCAATTTTGCTGCTCTTTCTTCTTCATCTCTCACCCATCTCAAAATTCTGAGAAATTGGAACATTATTAAGCATGTGTTTGTATTCTTCGTATTTGGAAACAGAGGAGATTAAGCTCAAGAGAAAAATTCAACCTTTCTTGAAGGTACATTGAGTTGGCAAAATAGATGGGAGACTCAATGCTGAGTACAATGAAAGAAGGAATTCTTTCAGCCTCCTTGTACTGTGCTAAATTTCTATAGCTCTGAGTTCCAGTTACATTGCCTCAAACCACAATGGTTGGCCTTGTCACATGCATCAGAATTTTGAACATGGATATTCCCAACTGAAAGTTAACATACAAAACAGGCTTCAACACTGTGCTAACTGCTATTTTCATATTACTGATTGGTGAAAAAAATGAAGAGCTTACAGCAATAGCAAGGCCCATTTCCACTGACATGAAGAGGACACCAAAGAAGGCGCAAAGACAAATGACAAAATTAAGCTTATCTACCTTCCATAAGCGGATGACAGAAGCTAAATCAATCAGGCCAATGACTGCAGTTATGATGATCACTGATAATATAACATTGGGAGTGTAGTAGAAAAGTGGCATCAGAAACACCATAGTTATGAGCACAACAGATGCCATCACTAAGTTAGAGACTGCTGTCTTAGATCCTGCATTGTAATTCACTGCCGATCGAGAAAATGATCCTGAAATTTTTCTCTAATGTATTTAGGGAAATCATGCAAAAAAAAAAAAGTGTTTTGATGCTAAATATATGGTTTTTAATGGCTTGGACCTGTGGTTACATAGCATGAAGTGCAGGAGCCTGTCATGTTCATTAATCCGATCGCCATCATCTCCTTATTTCCGTCCACTTGGTAGTTTTTCAGAGATGCAAATGTTCTACCAACTGCTATCCCTTCCTGTAAAACAAAGATGTCATTTTGGTTGGTGATTGGCAAATATATGAAGAAAAAGTTGGCGTGTTTGGTGTGAACTCACTGTAAGAGATAGGATTCCTGTCATAATTCCTGTTTTAATTGCAAGGGCTAAGTTGGAGCCATGGAAGTTTAGCATATTGGCAGAGGGCGGGTTCACACCTTTCTGCAAGTGCCCAATCTGTTCACAAAAATGCAACCAGTTGTATAAATTGGCTTCACTTTCTCTCCCTCCCACCCTCTACATAGATAAATAATATATATCTATCTATCTATATATATCTATATATATCTATATATATCTATATATATCTATATATATCTATATATATCTATATATATCTATATATATCTATATATATCTATATATATCTATATATATCTATATATATCTATATATATAAAGCCTTGAGCTATTGGCTTTACTCACGGATTTGATACCATGTCTGTGACCTTTGAGAGCAAAGACAATGATGGTTGATAGAATCACAGAGGCCAAAGGCGTTGCTGCTGATACCCAGAAAAGCTTAGGCCTCCTCAAGCCCTGCATCATGTTTCATTTAGATGAGGAGGCATTTTGCAGAATATAACAGAAGTAATATTAATTAGTCCTAATTTATTAAATAAGTTAATTATTTAAGATCTAAACCTTTTTTTTTCCCTTTTACAAGATCGATTTTCTGTTTTGTTATTTTTAACTTGAAACAATTTTTTATTGCTATTTTGGTTTGCTATAAGCTGATTGATCAAATGGTCCATATTTTACATGCAAACTTCCAAGATTATAAGTAAAATGTTGGGCATTTCAGATTTGGGGATTGTAATTCCATGATCACCTAAATGGATTTATAGGTTTAAAAGTTTAAGTAAGATATCATCTTTAAGCCCACTTAAGTTATAGCATAATAGGGGATAATTACATAAATAGCACTCAAGGTTTTGGAAATCGGATCGAACATCAATTCAGAAAAATGAAATGTTCAAAGTTCACTAATTTGACCGGATTTAAACTAGATAACGTGATAATTAATAAATATAATAATTAATTAAATATAATCTAAAATAATAAAATAATAGAAAAATTATTAAATAAATAAAATTCATTTCATAAAAAAAAATGCTCTCTTTCATAAGCTAATTGATTCTATTCACAAAAAAAAAAAAATAATAATAATAACCCTATAAAATTTTATATTCTCTCTCCTTGTAGCCCTCAGATATATCTATATATATAATGTTGGATATGCCTGCAGATTTAATCATGATCCGGAAAATGTCAAAATTGACCCTTTAGAATTGAAGTTGCTTTTTGAATTCGGAAACTGGGTGGCATGTGTAAACTATAAGAAAAAAATATAAAATAATATAGATATTTTTTTGAAGATTAAACCAGTTCTCCAGTTAGCCGGTTGAACAACCAGTACAACTGGCTCTGGGCGGTTCATATTTAGAAATGATTTCTTGTGTGGTTCGAACTGAACTAGCCACCGGTTCAAAGTCGAATCGACCGGTCCGGTCTGATTTTTTAAACTTAGATATCACCTGAAATACTGTAATTTACAAAATCTAACGCCCAAGTGATATTTTTTAACTATCAAACCGATATATTCTCTCGCGCGGACGATCAAACCATTGAGAATTTGATAAAAATGAAAAATATGGGTTGGGGTTTTATCATAAATTTTGATATTTGAGAGTGTTGAAAAATGGATGAAAGACGGTGCTAGATTTGGAAATAGCAATGTTCAGGTGCTACGTAAGTAAATGCCCCGTTGTTTTAACCATACATGAAAATAATTATTGCCTAAAACCACAATGGTTG